ACTAATTTCTCTGGGATATAGCAGTAGGAATGGAGTTGCTGGGTCATTGGGTTTCTTATGTTCAGTTTTAGTAGGTGCACGTTGCCAGGCTGGACTTGGGATTGGTGTCTGAAGTGGGGGTAGGGCGGCAGCCTTGTGGGACTGAGCTCTTCACCTGTAGGGTCTGCACTAACTTCAGGTGGATAGTGTCACAATGGGTTGAATTTTAGGACACCTACCTAGTGTCCAGAGAATCACAGAACTGCTTGATTGGGAAAACCTACACATTTGGTGACCTGAAGTATTCTCTGTGTGGAGTGTTGTAGTAAAGGAGAAACCGATTTTTTCCTTTATGTGTGGTGTGAGTAGTGTAGTAAGGGTAGAGAGAAGAAACACAGAAGTGTTTTTTCTCATTTTTTTTTTAGTTTATTTTTTTTTGAGGGGGGGGGGAGGGGCAAGCCAGAGAAAGAGGGAGAGAGAATCCCAAGGAGGCTCTGCACCATCAGCACTGAGCCTGAGAAAGGGCTTGAACTCACAAGCCGTGAGATCATGACTTGAGTGGAAATCAAGAGTCAGATGCTTAACTGACTGAGCCACCCAGGTGCCCCAGAAGTGCTTTTTCTATTCCAGGGAAATGACAGGAGAAGGTGAGGAAAGGCATGGGACCTGAAGCATCTGATATTGTCTGAGGAGAGGAGGTGTTTGCCTGAGGGGAAAGAGGGTGGGAAAGCCATCTGGGGGATTGGCAAGTGTGAGGAAGAGAGCTTGGCTCCTCCTTCTAATCTAGACCAGGTGCTCCCTAAGTGTCCTCCATCTGTTTTCTCAGCACGGTGAGCAGGCATTCAGCGCATGCATGTTGAATAGGAGGTGGAGGGACGTTTGCAAGAATCCCTGAGCCGTCTGGTTTGACCCTAAGACAGTGAAAAGGCCCAAGCCCTGAGGCCTAATTGTTAAAACTGGTCTTAGGAATGAAATAAGAAAACAAAACTAGAAATGCAAGTAGGTTTAAAAAGAAATGTTGTTGGGGTACCTGAGCGGCTCAGTCAGTTGAGCATCTGACTCTTGATTTCAGCTCAAGTCATGATTCCAGAGTTGTGGGATCAAGTCCCACCTCACCTGTGGAGCCTGCTTAAGATTATTCTCTCTTGCTCTCCCTCTGCGCCTCTCCCTGGAACACCTGCTCTCTTTCTGAAAGAAAAAAGAAAAACAAATGTTGCAGTTTTATCTTAGCTTCAGGGCAAACCTCAGTCATTTTGTGATCGGACTAGTAATTGGTCCCTGAATTCTTAGATCGGAGGAAAAGGGTATAAACCAGCAATTGACTATAATCCTCCCAAGATGTCAGTATTCCCATGTGGCAAGGGACAGAAAAGAGGGGGGGGGAAGGGGGCGTGGGTGCTTCAGTGTTCTTCCACACTCCAACTCCCAGATCTGGCGCCGGGGCCATTGTGATTTCCAAGTGATCCCAGGGGACCAATCACTGCGAGAGAGGCGGGCCTCTCTCACTAGGCCTCCCTGCCAGTACTTGGCTTTTGGGGTCTGTCTTAACATTCAGGCCTCTGAATACCTAGATGTGTGTGGCAGTGTGCAGCTCAAGTGGGTTGTGGAAGGCAGGCTTACCTTATAAACTGATGCGGTGCTTAAGACTTCTGAAATGATTAAGAGACCCCCCTCCCCTATGCGCAATCTCCTTTCCCCACTTTGCCCTGGCCACATCCGATCAGCTCATTATCTGAGGGTGGAAAAGCAAAAGTGCCTTAAGTCTCCCCTTGATTTGTGACTTCTTAAATCTTCGATAGAGCAGGGCTGTCATCAGCACCCTGCAACCTCAGAATAGATTTCTCAGGGAAGGGGTGAGAAAGTCATGGGAATCTTCTGAGAGTAAGGGGGCCCCAGGAAACGGGGCTCAGGAACTGCTCTCCAGGTGAGCTCACTGGGGTCAGAGAATCTGTGGGATCCAAAGGAAGGGAGCATGTGATTTGCATCCCAGAGAGGAGGTTGGGGCCAAAGAGGCCTTAGATGTGGCTGCCGGGACAGGATTCCTAATGCCCATGAGGGGCACCTATGGAGGGAGGTCCAGAGGTGGAGGGTGCTTGGGGTGGGGGGAAGGAGGAACTCCTCAGCAACCAACCTTGTAACAGTTGCAGGTAACTTCAAATCTGCCTCCTCCATCTCCTGCCTTTTCACACCTCATCTCCCTGCTGCTTGCTCCCTCCACTCCAGCTTGTTCTTCCTCAGATCACCCAACACGCTTGCATTTGTGTTCCCCCTCCTGGAAGCACTTGTCTTATCCAGAGGCCTCCCTCGACTGACCTGTTGAAAACTGCAATGGCACTTACATGCCCTTTCCTGCCCCAGCACACTTCTCCCCCCTACCCAGCTTGCCTTTTCTCCAGGGCCCTTCTCACCAGCAGGCGTACTGTGTCACTGCTTGAAGGCAGTAGTCATTTCTTCTGGTCCCTTTTAACCTTCCAGCGGTAGACCCTAACAGGGTCAATTATGCTCAAGTAGCAAATGCTCATAAAATCTCATGAATGTTTGACACAACAGATGTCCCGAACCTTAAGTTATAGAATCTCCAAAGCACAGCTTTGGCCCCAAATTCTGGCTCCACTACTCACTGGCTGTGTGGCTTTAGCAAATCCCTAGTCTCTTTGAAACTTAGCTTCCCCATCTGTAAAATGGAGTAATAATCATACTGCCTTAATAGTTTCTGAGAACTAAAAATCCAAAAACAGTGCCTGACTCACAGCAGATATTCTGCTAAGGCCCCTCCCCACCGGGGCCTCCTAAGGTGTTTCCTTATCTACCCTCTCTACCCCCCCTACCCCCACTTACCCTCCACAGCATAGGTGTCACTGTCAGAAGTCACTTCTTTGTGCAAAATGGGCAGCAGCTCCCTCAGCCTAGGTGTTCCTGCCCTTGTCTGCTGTGGCTGCCCCATCTCACCCACTAGGAGTTTAAGTTCCTGTGGGCAGGGATCACACCTCATTGAGATTACTTGCCCTCACCCAGTGTCCAGTCCCTTATGGTCAGACAAAAATGTGGGACAAATCACTAAAGTGTCCTCATCTCCCTTTTTAGATTTCACCCCTGAAATCATCAGCTAGGGTCTTCTGTTCCAGAATGTCCTGCAGCCTCCTCATCCCCCCACCCCACCCCACTCTGGGATGGTCCCTCTCTTCCCCGTGGGTCTAGCGGGTGTGACCCTGTGGGGCTCTGCTGCCAGCCCCAGCCCTCCCTCAGCATGCCCACCCTTCCTGCTGCTGCTCAGCCCAGCACTCCCTCTAATGGCTAGCTTTTGTGGAAGGTTCCGCGCTAGGGTTGAAAGACAAAAAGCTAGGCTGTCCCCTAAGGCTCCTCTAGTTCCTGATGTTCCTGCTGTGGTTTCCCTGGATCCCGCCTTTGTTTTCCTTCCAATGCCTCCTCTTTTAAGTTCCAAGAAAGCCTCTTGGAGAGTTTGTGATCTCACCCAATTTCCAACATTCCAGATTTAGTCTCTTACCCCTTCTCTTCTCAGACTTTAAATCACTGTCCTCTCTCTGGGTGTGAATCAGAATCGTGAAGAGGCCAGGGAGACAGGGGGACGGTAAAAGCTTATCAAAAATCCTGCTCCCCTGAGAAAGCATTTCCCCAGCTTCCAGAAAGGACAAGGTGAGGTTAGTTTTTACATGGATTGCATTATAAGCACGAGCTAAGCAGCTAACAATAACGCACAAAATCCCCTGAAGAAGGTAAAGTCAAAATTTTAAATGGTCCCTTCAAACCGGCCCGTTCTGCGACCCCCTCCCGCTCTGCGGCAGCAACTCCTGTGCGTGGGGCTGTGCTGCAGCGACACTGCCCACGAAATTCCCAACCAAGACTCAGACCACGCCAGCCATGCCACGAGGTGTGTTTTATTTTCATTAATCATACAAATAATTTGCTATAATATCCCAGGGCAAACCGGAGAATTTGGCAGTCCGATTGGAGGGGGTCCCCTCTGAGACCCACAGGCCGGTGGCGTCGGCACGGAGTGCCCGGGTTCACAGTGCAGCTTGTCGCTCGTGTCCATCTTGCAGGTGGCTCTTCCTCCACGACTAGGGTGTCTCGAAGATGACGGGGGTGGGGAATCCTTTAGGCTCTTAGGAAATTTCGCTCCGCTTCTCCTGCTCAATGGCTGTGGAGAGCAGGAAGCGGCACTGGCGGAGGAGGACACCTTGCAACCCCCCAGCCGAGGCACCCACGAGGTTTGGGGATTAAGAAAGAAGCTTGGGGCTGGGGAGACGTGCACTTCGTAGAACAGAAAGGGGGCCGGGGCCGCCGGGCCCGGCGCCTTGGCCAGGTGGGGGTGGGGCTGGGTTCGCGGGAAGGGCGGGGTGGGGGTGGGGGGACCGGGCTGGGGGCCCGCGGACCCGGAGGCGGGGGTGCACTCACTCTCTTTGGTCGGCAGGGTGTTCTTCTCCTGCGTCTCCGTTTTCTTCAGCTTGGCCTTATCGAAGCTGGCGATTTCCCCCATGTCTGGCTTGTCTGCCATTTTCTTAAAGCGATCCTAGTGGGGAAAGCAAGGCGGTTGGCCTGCGGTCGGGGCCAGCGTCCCCTCCGCCTCTCCGCCGACGCCTCTCGACGTGGCACTCGGCCGGGGCGTTCCCGGCAGCCCCAGGCCGAGGATCTGGGCGCGGCCCGCACCCCCCTCCTAGCCCCAGGGCGTGGTCCGCCGGACGGGCGTCCCGTCGGGGAAGGGCGCCTGTGGCGGCCGCGGCGCGCGGGCCAGGTGCACCCACTTCGACCCCACCCGGATGGGGCCCCCGCCCAGGGCAGCGCTCACCGTGGAGTTCCGCCTCGAGCCCGGCGACTGGTGCTCCCACTCGCGTTGCTGCAGCAAGAGACAAAAGAGCGGCGCCCGCCCCTCGCCTTATATATGCCGCGCCCCGCCCCGCCCCTCACCCGCCGCAGCGGGGGCGGTGCTGATAGGCGAGGGGCGGGGGCAGCGCGGGCGGCTCGCTTCCCCGCCGCGCCCTCAGCCCAGGCTGCCTTGGGGGCTGGGCGCGGCACTTCCTGCTCCGGGGCCCCAGCGCCCCGCGCCCCCAGCCCGCGGTGACCCCGCGGTGAAAGCTGTCGGTGCTGCCGGGACGGGTGCTGGGCCCTTGCTTTCCGTTCGGGGCTGCGCTCCCCTCCCCAGGAATCTGCTGCTCCCTTCCAAAATAAGGGGCGTGGGGGCCGGCGGGGGGAGGAGTGTGTGGTTGTGTGTGTGGTTGTGTGTGTAGTATGTAGTTGTAGGTGTGGATGTGCAGCGTTGCACGCTGGCTCTGCAGTCATCCCGGCTCGCAGGAGATCCCCCCCGCCCCGTCCCTGTGCAGTTCCCACGTCTCATGCCTTTGCCCTCCTCCCCCCTCCCCCAACCTCCCCTCTTCTTCTCCTTGGGGAGGCTCAACCCTTGCATAGACTCGCCCTAAAAGAATCTGAGCCGAGGGTTCCTAGAGATGAAGAGACGGGGGAAACAGGTTTCCACTGCTCTTTGCTCGGATTGGGGGCCGGTTGCCCTCTCGTCGTCGTCTGCGTTCCCTGAGCTGGGAGGCTCTCGCGGGAGTGGTGGCGGGTGTTCCTTAAAGGCTTGTAAGCATTGTCTGAAGGGCGGTGGTGAGAGCAGGCAGTCCGAGAGGGCTCTCTATTCTTTCTCACACCAGGGCTCCAAGAACACTGTGTCCAAGGGTGTGGTTTTCCTCCTTGAAGATAACCTTGGAGATACCCTACAAACGTTCTTATTTTCCATATTAACCCATTATAGGAGGGGTATAATGCGATTGTTCAAATCTTTCTTAGAAAAGTTGTTATTTTCAGTGGTATTATCTAAAGATGTTTAGGTAGTAAGTTCCATAAATTAACAACACGGGGGCGGGGGGTGGGGGGAAGCTGGTTGTTGTCTTATTTGTGCAGAACTTTCCTTTTTCAAGTGCCAAGGAGTATTAGCAAGCTCTGTTAAAGTGGGATTTGGTGGAAACATCTAAATTCTGTCCACGTCTTCCCTATTTTCTCTGCTTTTCTTGCATTCCCTCAGTGTGTTTGGAAGAGATGGAAGAGCATTTAGGCTTATGAATTTGATATCCCAACCCCCTTGTGTGGCCTTGGGCAAGTCTTTCCTACTCCTCCATTTCTTCATCTGGAAAACAGCTTTAGCATAAAGCCTAAGTGAGCTAATAGAACAGGCATCAAGTGGAAGCCTAATAGGGCAGCCCCGTGAGACTGCCACACTCATACTTCCTTAGTGTATCAGTCATCTAGCTCTAGAGTATGCTGTGTAACAAACTACCCCAAAACCCAGTGCCTTAAAATATTAATCATTTATTTTTGCTTGTTCATCTACAGGTCAGTCAGCTGCTGCTGGTTTGGACCAGGCTGGGCTTGGTTGCAGGTTGCCAGCTGAATCTAGGTCTGCAGGACCAGGAACTAGCTGGTGCTTATTCTTCTCAAGGTGATGGCAGAGCAGCAAGAGGGTTGTAGCACTAGAGAGTGTAGAAGTGAAGAAGTGCGTGTAAAAGCATATCATGTTACCTCATGTCTGTGAACATCACATTGGCCAAAACCACTGTTAATGGAGTGGAGAATTATATTCTGCCTTTGGTGGGGGAGGGAGGGGCATGGACATTTCCTGAATAAAAATCCAACTTCGTGGTCAGGGTAGGCAAACAACTGTAGCAAATGGCCCCTATAGTGGCTTAAAGCAATAAGAATTTATATTGCACTCATGTGGCAACACTATACGTTGATGTTTCTGGTCAGGCAGCTTACCTCCATGTAGTGACTCAGGTACTCAGGCTTCTTCTCTCTTGTCACTCTGCCCTCCTCCAGGTCCTGGGAGTTTACTCCTTGCATCCGGGAGATAGGAAAAGAGGAAACAAATACAAGACTGCACTGGAGTTTTTATGGACCAGTCTCAGAGGTAGTCGCCATCATTTCTGCCCTCATCTCATTGGCAGGACTTAGTCACATGGTCTTACCTAACCGCAAGAGAGGCTGAGAAATGTAGTCAAGCTGTGCACCCAGGAGAAAAAGAAGGCAGGTTTGGGCAGACCTGGAGCATACACTATTAAAGGATCTGCCAAACTTGAGCGTGAAAAAATGCAGACATCCTGAGACATCAACTCTTCATTGGGTCTCACTGGCACTTGATTCCTTTTCAGATGCAATGGCAAGCATTATTTAGGTGTTATCTTATGGGACCCCACCTTTGGTCTGAGCATTTGTCCCAGTTTGGACCCAGGGTGAACTCCAATTCCAATTTTTATTTTCAAAACAAAGGGATCTATTCCGTCTAGATACAGCTATAACACATGTTTCAAACACATCAAGCGCACAGGATACCTAAACAAAGGAGCCTACAGGGACTTGCGGATATTCTTTATTCTCAGCTCTGTGGCCCATCTCTAAGAAAATGGGTATCCTCTGTCATTTGTTGCTTAAGAACACTCGTCAAATCTATTAGTTTCATTCAATCCCATGGGTAGTGTTTTTATTTTAATTTTTTAATTTGTATTAAAACTTTTTAAGTTTATTTATTTTGAGAGAGACAAAGAGAGCAAGCAAGGGAGGGGCAGAGAGAGAGAGAGAGAGAGGGAGAGACAGAATCCCAAGCAGGCTCCACACTGTCAGCGTGGAGCCTGACACAGGGCTTGGACTCACAAACCGTGCAATCATGACCTGAGCTGAGACCAAGAGTCAGATGTTTAACCGACTGAGCCACCCAGAGGCCCCACTCCCACCATTTCTTGAGAATAGATTGTCCTTTATGACTTTCTTCTAGCGAGTGAAATGTAGCAGGGGTTATGCTTTTTAACTTCTATGGCTAAGACATAAAAGTCCATGGAGATATAAAAGGCCCGACTCTCTCTCAGGATACCTCTGCACTCTGAGAAAACCAAGCACCTACAAGGAAAGGCTGCTTGTAGGCATTCCAGCTACAGCCCCAGCTGAGGTCTGAGCCATCAGCTAGCATCAACCACTAAACAGGCAAACAGATGAGCCTTGAAGCTTTAAATTACCCCAGCTATTGCTGAGTGGAACAAACACAAGTTGTCCCTGGCCAGATTATTACAGTTTCGTGAGCAAAATAAATGTGTAGTTGTTTTAAATCACTGAGTTTCAGGATGTTTTGTTATGCAGCAGCACCGTGAGATGGAAAAATCATAACTTAGTGGTGTCAGGGTCTCAGGTCCCATTCGGGGATTTTTCCTAAGTATCTTCTGCAATACTCACACATATACTTAGTTGTCATTTATCAAATATCCATGAAGTTTCTAGCAGTGTTCTCTGGATGTGGAAGATACAAAGATGATGAGACTCTTGAGTTACAAGTCTAGTGTAGTAAATGAATCGCTCTAAGTCAATCAACAAGCTCATGCTCATGCCTTGCATTTACTTATGACTTGGGTGTCATTTATGTCTGACAACATTTCAGCCTGCTGCTTGGAACAGATTGTGTACTGTTAACAGATGGTATTGAGAGAGCCGAACCACTCAACTCCAATTACATTTCCATTTTCTTTGTTGAGAAGGATGCTTTGGAAAATGTCGAGCTAATAAGAGGGAGCTAATGGAGTCTTGATGACTGTCAACTGCGGGGTGAGGAGGTGGGGAAGGCAGTGGAGAGAAGCCTTTGGAGATTTGCTGTGGGGCAACATTCCTCAGGCCTGTTCAATTTGACAATTTTTTTTTTTAATTCGGGCTTTGAATGGGGATATAGATAGAATGCTGATCATATTAGGAAGGATGTAACTCTGTAAACACTAAGGCAAGGGACACCTGGGTGGCTCAGTCGGTTGATTTCTGCTCAGGTCATGTTCTGGTGGTTCACGAGTTCGAGCCCCACAGCGGTCTCTATGCTGACAACTCAGAGCCTGGAGCCTGCTTTGGATTCTGTGTCTCCCTCTCTTTCTGCCCTCTCCCCCACTCATCCTCTCCCCTTCCACACCCCTCTCTCAAAAATAAATGATCATTAAAACAAAACAAAACAAAACACTAAGGCAAGCTGGATCCAGTGGAGATATAGACAAAATAAGATGAGATTAGACCTGATAGGGGCAGATGCGGGGCCTGCTTGGTCTGACCACAAACCCTACAAATACGGACAGACATGATTAATATGATTACCTCTCAAAAGAAGGTGAATTTTGTGGCTGTGTGAATAAGAAGAAAGAGTTCAGTCCAGGTTTCCCTTGACCGCAAGGAAGACATTCACTTCTGCCTCAGGGCCTTTGCCCTTGTTGGGATCCTCATGTGAGATGCTGTTTTTACTCTAAATATTCACACTGTGCACCTTATTTCACCTAGAACGTTGTTTAAGTGTCCCCCTCTCAGAGAACTTTCCTTGACCATCCATATAGAGTAATACCCCTGACATTCTCTAGACCTTTACCTTGTTTCATCTTTCTTCATAGAATCCATCTCTACCAAATGTGTTATATATTCACTTATTTGTTTGTTGTCTCTCCCCCATAGTAGGAAATTGAAGACCTCATCTATCTGGTTTACTACTGCATCCCCAGCACCAAATGCAATGCCCTGACACCTTAAGTGCTCAATCAGTGTTCTTTGAACAATACATAAAATTCTTTTTTAAAAAAAATTTTTTTTGGGGCGCCTGGGTGGCTCAGTCGGTTAAGCGGCCGACTTCGGCTCAGGTCACGATCTCGCGGTCCGTGAGTTCGAGCCCCGCGTTGGGCTCTGTGCTGACAGCTCAGAGCCTGGAGCCTGTTTCAGATTCTGTGTCTCCCTCTCTCTGACCCTCCCCTGTTCATGCTCTGTCTCTCCCTGTCTCAAAAATAAATAAAAACGTTAAAAAAATTAAAAAATAAAATAAAAAAAAATTTTTTTTAACGTTTATTCATTTTTGAGAGAGACGGGAGACAGAGTGTGAGCAGGGGAGGGGCAGAGAGAGAGAGAGAGAGAGAGAGAGAGGGAGACACAGAATCTGAAGCAGGCTCCAGGCTCTGAGCTGTCAGCATAGAACCCGATGGATGGCTGGAACTCACAAACTGTGAGATCATGACCAGAGCCGAAGTCGGACGCTTAACCGACTGAGCCACCCAGGCGCCCCAATGAACAATACATAAAATTCTTAATCAAGATGAAATAAGCTATTCTGAGTGAGAAGATGAGTTCCCTGTCATTGGAGGCATTCAATGAGAAGTGAATAGCCAAGTATGTGGACTATAATAGAGATGGTTCAGACCTTGGGCTGGAGTAGGCCCGCAGTCAAGCAAATCTACTTCTCCCTACATGACCTTTCTGGTCCTTTTCTTGCTGTTATTTCAGTTGTGAAACATCCTCCTTTTGGGTACCAGTTTTGCCAGCCTGGAGAATAGCTGCACGAGTCTCGCACAAAGGAGGTATGGGAAGCAAGGAAATCAGGAGGTGATCTCTGTATTTTCCGTGCCATCAAAAGGCTGTTTCTCTTTGTAGGTCACGGAATTTAAGGGCCTGTCTGAGATAAAATTGTGAAGAATGTAAAGCGGGCCTTTGAGGTTCAGCTCTGTAGATTGTTCTGCTCTGTAGATGTGTGGATGAACCCCTAAATAAAGCTTGGCAGCTGCTCAGCTCACCCAGGTGGCTAACAGCCAGAGTGCGAGTGCCAATAGTATGGCTCCGGTTTTCATTTCTGGTGCTAGAATAGCAGTGATGATGGCAACTAACATTATTGAGTGGCTGTCGTGTTCCAAGCCTTGTGCTAAGGACTTTTACAGGTATCATCTCACTTAATCCTGTTTTGATCATTTCTGCTTTACAGCAGAGGATCTTTGACTTGGGCAAGGTCACACAGCAGGTAATTAGTGTTGTTGAAATTTGAACCCAGGTCTGGCTGATTCCGAACCCTGAGCTCTTACCCATGGCGCTTTTTTTTTTAAATCTCTCTTTTTTTTTTTAACGTTTATTTATTTTTGAGACAGAGAGAGACAGAACATGAATGGGGGAAGGTCAGAGAGAGAGGGAGACACAGAATCGGAAGCAGGCTCCAGGCTCTGAGCCGTCAGCCCAGAGCCCGACGCGGGGCTCGAACTCATGGAGCGCGAGATCATGACCTGAGCCGAAGTCGGCTGCTTAACTGACTGAGCCACCCAGGCGCCCCTTACCCATGGCACTTTTGCCTTGATCTTGCAGCGGTGTTTGCAAACCAGCAGTCTGGATCCAGCTGGCATATGTATTTTGTTTGGCCGCATTAAATTTCATGTGGGAAGATTTCCACTTTAAGATGTAGATCTTCTCATGGCAGCATTGTGATTAACAGCTGCACCCTTGAAATGGGGCATGTTGTCTTCACTTTACTGATTCTCTACCAGTCCCTAATGTCTTCCCTGCATGGAGACCAGTGTCAGTTGTCGTTTATCCTATCTGTACAGGTGTTTTGCTCCCAGTGGAGAAATATTTCTTGTTCCCAGGCCTCTCTCTATGGAAGTCAGCTTTTAAGATGGTCCCCAGTGATCCTGCCTTTTGTTCCCACCCTTATAAAGTCCTCTCCTCTATTGTACCAGGATGGGTCTGTGTGACCAATGTTACACGGCAGAGGAGATAGTTAAGTTATGAGTTAGACGGAAGTTGAGTTATAAAAGACTATAATTTCCATTTTGGTGCCTGGCTTTCTCTTTCTTTCTCTTGGGTCTCTCGTTCTGGGGGAAGCCAGCTGCCATGTTGTGAGCAGTTCTACCGAGAGGACCACAAAGTGAGGGAGCGCCAGTCTGTGGCCGACAGCCAGTGAGGAGCTGAGGCGATCAGCAAGCGAGTTTGGAAGCAAGTCCTCCGGCCCCAGGTGAGTCTTCAGATGGCTGCAGCTCTGGGTGACAATTTGACTGTAACTTTCTGGGACACCCTGAGCCAGAACCTCCCAGCCAAGCCATTCCCAGAAACTGTGAGATAGTAAGTGTTTGCTGTTTTATGCTGCCAGGGTTAGGAATAATTTGTTAGTCAGCAAGAGACAAACTCATTCACTATCAAAAGTGGGGAGAACAGATAGATCAAGAGTACCATGTAGTTAAAAAAATTAAGAAAGAGCTTATTTGTCTGTGGAAGTAAAGAATATTTATATCACTAGGAAGCCTGCCGTAGTAAGAACTATGGTATATGGGGAGGATGAGACAGTCTTCATGAGCCAGGCCGATTTTACTTCCTCACGTGCTCTACCTGGCCCCTTTAGGTCTTTAAGTCTTCCAAGCTTGCCATAAAGCAACGGTTTTCAAATTGTTTTTGACCTTGATGATTGACTCCCTCCCCAAGAAGTGCATTAAGTACATTTCACACCGTGATATGGTATTCACATGAGCGCACACAAATGAAACAGAAGTTCTCTAGAACAATATTCACTTTCACTATGAGTGATATATTCTAAGCTTCTCTGTTGTATTCATTTTCATTTTTTAAAGCATTTTCATTTGGAAATAATTATAGACTCGTGGAAAGTTGCAAAGATGGTACAACTGAGGTCCCCTGTGTACTCCATGGTAACATCGTGGATGACTATAGTGCAGCATCAAAACCAGGCAACTGACAATGGTGCAATCTGCAGACCTTTCTAGATTTCACCAGTTTATTATGTGCAGTGTGTGTGTGTATTTCTCTGCAATTTTATCACATGTACAGAATTGTACAACCACTACAATCCAGATACAGACGTATTCCAACACCACAAAGGGAAATCCCTTGTGCTACACCTTTATAGGGTCACCTGCCCCCACTCTTCCCCGACTCATAGCCCCTGGCAAACACAATCTATCCTCTGTCTCTAAAATTTTGTCTTTTGAAATTGGCTTTTCTCACTGAGCACGAGGCCCTTGGGATCCATTCAAGTTGTGGAGTGTACCACTAGTTCAGTCCTTATTATTTCTGAGTGGTATTCCGTGGCATGAATGTACCCCTTACTGAAGGCCATTTGACTGTTTGCAGTTTTCAGCTATTAAAAATAACACTGCTGTGAACATTTGTGTACATTTTTTGGTGCGTGTGGACATAAGTTTTCATTTCTCTTGGATAATGTCTAGGGAAGTGTTTGCTGGGTCATAGGGTAAGTGCATTTTAGTTTTGTAAGAAATTGCTCAGGCGCCTGCATGGCTCAGTCAGTTGAGCATCTGACTCTTGATTTCAGGTCAGGTCACGATCCCAGGGTTGTGGAATCAAGTCCCGTGTTGGGCTCTGCGCTGAGGATGAAGCCTGCTTGGAATTCTCTCTCTGTGTCCCTCTGCCCCTCTTCCTCAGCCCCTCTCCCCTGCTCTCTCTTTCTAAGGAAAGAAAGAAAGAAAGAAAGAAAGAAAGAAAGAAAGAAAGAAAGAAAGAAAGAAAGAAAGAAGGAAGGAAGGAAGGAAGGAAGGAAGGAAGGAAGGAAGAAAAAGAAATAGCCAAGAAATTTTCAGAGTGGTGGTATCATTTTATATTCCCACTAGCAATTTATAGGAAATTCAGTTTCTTAGCATTCTTACCAGTATTTGGTATTGCCACTATTTTTAATTTTAGCTGTTCTAATAGGCATGGAGTTATTTCATCAAGGTTTTTTTCTTTTTAAGTTTTATTTATTTAAGCAATCTCTGCACCCAACATGGGGCTCAAACTCATGACCCCAAGATCAAGAGTCGCATGTTCTTCTGATTGAGCCAGCCAGGTGCCCCTCATCAAGGTTTTAATTTGCATTTCCCTAATGGCCACTGGTGTCGAACTATTCCTTTTTATTTTATTATTTCGTTAAAAATATGATTGTGACCTACTAACTTGATTTTATCATCCACTAACTGGTTGTGTCCAGCAGTTCAAACTCTGCTGTAGGGGGATGATTTCAATCAGTGGCTTAGCGTCCATTATTCTCAAATCATCTCTTTAACTTCTAAATTCTCCTTTAGAGAGAATTTAAGGAGAATTTAGAACATCTCCTTCTCAGATGTTCCTGAAATTTTATGTTTAACCTAGATGTCTTCTGGTGTCTGAAAAAGATCTAGATAAGAATGATTCCAACTCCTGTCTGATGCTTTCCCATGGTTTCTCTGAATTTTCTTATGGTTATTTCTGGTCTCTGAATTTTTGTGTCTCCGCAGTGATCCCATCCAAACAGGGCCAGCCCTTGGCTTTCATTTCTTTCTTCAAAGCAACTGTAAAAATAAGGCTGGTCTGTGCAGCACAATTTTTACCAAAGGGATGTGGGTGAAGGAGAGGGACGAACCTATATTTTTAATGGTATATATATATATTTTAATATATATTTAATATATATATTATATATAATATATATTATATATTATATATAATACATAATATACATATATTATATATTATATATTATTATATATAATATATTATATATTATTATATATATTATATATTACATATATATATATGAGACAGAGGGAGACACAGAATCTAAAGCAGGCTCCAGGCTCTGAGCTGTCAACACAGGGCCCGACGCAGAGCTTGGACCCCTGAACCGCAGGATCATGACCTGAGCCAAAGTGAGATGCTCAACCAACTGAGCCACCTAGGCACCCCTTTGTTGATATGTTCTGAATCCTGAAAGCCCTTTTGGTACATTGGGGTCTTTTTCTAGTTAGCTGGTAACTCACACTGTCTATCTCCTCATTTCCATTTTCTGATTCCCTCCTTCTTCTTTATTCTTTCCATTGAGAAATACCAAAGTCCCTTCTTTCTTCCCAGTGGAACAGTGTACTTGTTCTTTGCTACCCTGGTTCTTGCTGGTTCTTTCTACTCCATGCAACTGATGGAAATATTTCCCCAAAGATAGTTCCTTCCTCAGTGGGATTTTGGTGTTAGTTATTAAGATAATACCACTTGTGTCTTTTGGCAGGATAATCTATCCTCTGCGTTTTTCTTTCTTTTAAATGCTAAAGAAGTTTTTTTTTTCTTTTTTCTTTTCCCTCCCTGCTTGGTATAGATCTCAGTGGAAAGCCTTGAGGTCCTGGATTTTGCCTGCCACCGATCTGTGCGTGAAGTTTGCTCTGTGCACCAGTGCTTGCTAATGTGTTCAATCCTTTATTGTCTACACCTTTTGTCTTAGTCATGAGGGCTGACATGACAGAATACTATAGACTGAGTAGCTTATAAACAATAGAAATTTATCTCTCACTATTCTGGAGGTGGGACAGTCCTAGCTACTGGCAGGTTCAGTGTCTAGTCAGGATGTGTTTCCTGGTTCCTAAACGGCCATCTTATCACTGTGTCCTCACCTAGTAGAAGGGGAAAGGCAACTCTCTGGGGTTTCTTTTATATGGACATGAATCCCATTCATGAGGGCCCCACCTTCGTGACCTGATCACCTCCCAAAGGCCCACCTCCTAATACCATCATCTTGGAGATGAGGACCCAAACATTCAGCCTATGGCACCAGTGTTCCATGTTGATAAAACTCTTCGAAGAGTCACTCTGATGCAAGAAAAGTATACCTAAGAACAAATGAGGCTTTGTTCCTTAGGTTGTGAATTTTTCGTCTCTAGGGCGTGGTATTAGATAATGAGGAGTTATGGGTCACACATGGGGTTAGGAAATGATGAATAGAAGGATTACAGAGAAAATAAGAACATGTATTCTTATTTCTCCATTAAGTCCATCGAGATTTGTCTGAGTATCTGTGCTGAGTATCTGTGATATAGAGACGAGTAAGCTGTGGTTCCTGTCCTAAGGATCATACAGTCTAGTGGACGACACGGATTTGAAAGAAACCTAAAATGTTGGTGGAATCAAATAGAGCCAGTGTAAGAGTAACGACTGCGGACGCCATGGAGCAGGGATCGGCCGTCCCTGTCAAGCGCTGTCGGATTTCCTAGCCAACAGAAATTGTGACTCTCATACCTGGATGTCGTTTTAAACCACTGAGTTTTGGGGGATGATTTGTTATGTAGAGTAAACTGGGGCACACGGTGAAAATCTCTCTCCCCCCTCCAAGCCCCAAATCTCCCATTTCCTTCCTTGGGAGCAATCTCTGCTACTGGTCTTTTGTGCACTCTTTCAGAGATGCTGGCATTACATATGTGCACACAGATATTCTTTTATTTTCACAAAAGATAATGTATTATCACACGGGATGTTGATTTGGGGGTTACAAATGAATTTTAACAAGTAAGTGAATTCTCCAATAGGGAATCCATGAGAAATGAAGATTGGCTGTTTTCATAAAAGGTATCAGTTAATTTTAAAATGTTAAGATGTTCATATATATTTTAAACGATATTTTCTCTTAAAATATTATCCAGTATTCGAAAGTGAGGTACAAATAATTATTAATGAATTTCAAAATTGTAAGCCAGCATTATTTTTTATTTAATTTAATTTAATTTAATTTAATTTAATTTAATTTTAATTTTATTTTATTTTAAGTAGGCTCCATGCCCAATGTGGGGCTTGAACTCATGACCCTGAGATCAAGAGTTGGATGCTCTACTGACTGAACAAGACAGGTGCCCCAAACCAGCATTATTTAAAAATAAAATATTTAATTAAACTATTGGCTATGCAGTTAAATGTGATGAATAAATTTTATAAAATTTAAAGTGTCTTCAATGTCTATCTTGCGAACAATATAGAGAATCTGTATATTGCTTCATATATGTTATCTACGTATGTACAGGTATAAGAATAATATGAGCTATTTACTAATTGTGAAATATTTCTCAGCTGCCATACAATGCACTTGTTGGGAACACTGTGCTAATTTGTGAGTAATTCCTGTAGCTACCAGAATTTCGGTGCTAGCTTTTGGAGCCACAGACTGGAACAGGAAAAGGAGTGAGAAAATGGGCGCTTGGTACTACTGGAAATCCTGGTTTTATAAGAATCTGTGAGAGAAAAGGTTTGAGTGACAGAAGCGCTGAGGTAAGTGGTTCTGTCTCCCCAGTCATCCCTAAACTCAGAAGCATCTCATCACTGGTGCTGGCAGCAACACAGCCTAGAAACTTCTCTGGCGTTGAGGTATAGTCACCCTTTGCCTCCAGAATACAGAGGAAGCCCGTGCCCAGGTCTGCATGGTGTTCGTGTGTGCAGGGGGGGTCGTCTAGAGTGCCAGCCCCTCTTGCCTGGGTGTATGGAAGGGACACCTATAAGCAATGCTGCAAATGAATTCAAACAAAATCTGTGCAAGTGTCTGTGTGGGATAAATTCTGACTGTTTCTTTGTAGTTTTTGACCAATTTTCATTCATTTCTGACTTCTTTTTAGTTTGCATAATTTCCAGAAAACTGGCCCCTTCTTGCATACTACAGTTTTTATCTTCCTCCTTCAAGAATATGCAAAATTGCCATTTCCTTTCTGGTTAATTTGCTCATTTCAGAATTCATATTCTTTTTCTGTCTCCTTTATGCCATGTGTTGCTCTTTGGCTTGGAGCCAGATTACTAAGCTTCCCCCAATCAAGCCTTATAAAGAGACAATTACAAGCTCACTGGGGAAGGAGCAATCATTTATAACCGGCAAGTAGAAAGAAAGGTTTAACTTCCTGTCACTGCACCTCTGGAAAGGATGGTGGCGGATGTGTGCTTTCATGCAAACCCCCTCTTCTCTAATGAAAGTGAAGACATTTTTCTGAAGCACCTCACATGGCACATAGGGTCAGGAGACCTGGGTCCAAGCACTGGCACCATTCCCTACCAGCCCTGGGCCTTTGGACAGTCACATGGCTTCTCTGAACTTCAATTTCCTTGTCTAAGAAATGGAGATAGTAATTGAGCTGTCACGAGGATCTGTGAGATCAAGTAGCTGAAAGCATTTTGTAGGTGAGATGTATTGTGTGCAGGGGAGTGGTTCAACTACTTTGGTTTCTTTTTATAATTTCCCTGCACCATGCTAATTACCTCTCTGTAGTATTTTCTGAGCTAGTTCTATTGTTATCATGCCATGCTCCCCAATAAATGCTCCTGAGCTGAATACTAATGCTTCAAAAAGGGTTTCTGGAAATGTTGAAGGACAGGATCATCTTGAAGGGATGGTGATAACGGATGGAGGAAAATGCCAGTTCTGAAATTAGGATCAGATGATGTCTGGAACTGATTGGAAAATGTTTGTCAGGAAGTTAGGGGAGGTTCCCACAGATGAAAGTTGGGACTGGGACTTCCCCACTCTATTGGCTGCCATAACAAAATGCCGCATACCACGGACTGGGTGGCTTAAACAACAGAAATTTATTTTCTCGCAGTTCCAGACCTGGGCAAATTCAAGACATGGGCAGGTTTGCTTTCTTCTCTCTCCTTGGCTTGCAGATGGCCACTTTCTCACTGTCTCCTTACATGGTGCATGCACATCCTGTCTCTCAGTGTGGTCATATTTCCTCTTCTTAAAGGGACACCAGTCAGACTGGAATAGGTCTCCACCCTAAAAGCCTGATTTTAACGTAATCATCTCTTTAAAGGCCGTTTCTCCAAATACAACTATATTCTGAGGTATGGGGGTTGGTGACATATGAAACTTGAGGAGACACAATTCAGCCCATAACGCTCATCAACATTTAACTGACACGTCAGTACAGGTGCTGAGTTTAGCCCATTGCGTTCTTTTCCCCAAAGCATGTACCAATACTTTTAACCAGTCGAGTGAACCAGGGAACTTTCAGCTGGGAGTCCGAGTTGCACTTGACATGGCTCGTTCATTCATGTGCTCATGTGTTTATTTAACAAGCATCTCCTGGGTGCCTGTCAGGTGCTGAGTGCCAAGCCAGGTGCCAGGGATTCCAGGGCATCCTGACACCTGACCGTGAACTGTTTATGGTCTGTAAGGGGAAATAGACACATGAATAAATAGATGTGATGCTGTATGATGGGTATAACAGGACAAGTCTACACCACATTCAGTGGTGGGATAGGGTGATCCACATGGCTGTGGACATTTGAGCTGAGTGTGTAATGCCATGAAGAATAATAGCTGACATTCATGGGATCTTTATCTTGACTGTGTGGTGGGCTAGGTGCTATATGCTTTACTTGGGCTATCTCAACAATAGTAATTTCAACCACAACTACAACCGGGTTGTTGAGCCATTATAACCCCGGGAGCAAGCATTATTGCCTTCATTTTACTGACGAGGAAACGAAGGCCTGGGGACCTTGTTATGGACTGAATGTTTGTGTCCCTGAAAAATACATATATGAGAGCCCTAACTCCCAGTGTGATGGTATTAGGAGGTGGGGCCTTTAGGAGGTAATTAGGTTTAGATGATGTCATTGGGGGGGGGGGGGGGAGACGGTCATGATGGGATTAGCACTCTTATAAAATGAGGAAGAGAGAGGAGGGCTGTCTCACTTCCTCTCCACATGTGCCATGAGGAAAGGCCATGTGAGTGCACAGTGAGAAGGTGCTCCAAGCCTGGTCTACAAACCAGGAAGAGGGCCCTCACCAAAAGCTGAAACTGCTGGCACCTTGATCTCGGATTTTCCAGCCTCTAGGATTGTGAGAAACAAATGTCTGTGGTTTAAACCACCCAGTCAGTGGTGCTTTATTGTAGCCGCCCAAGCTGATGAAGACAGAACTAAAGGAACTTGCTCAAGGTCTTATGGTCCTAAGTGGCAGAGATGGGGTTAGAGGCTACGTTGGTATAAATCTCAGCAGAAGCAAGGCAGGGAGGAACAAGGAAGAAGCAAAGAGGGACAATAGGGGGTGTCCTGCCTTAGCCCCTCTGTGCCTCTGCATCCTCATCTGTAAAATGGGACGACAACAATAGTACACACGTCTTAGGAATGCAAAGTGCTTAGAAGAGCACCCGGCACGTAGCGAAGGCCAGGCATGTGTTTGCTCTTATCACATTGTTGATGGATTTCACAGATGCAGGGAGGTTAGTTAGGAGATTGTTACTATGATCCAGGTAAGAGATAATGAGGGTCGGAGTCAGAGTGGCAGTGGGGAGAAGAAGCTGAAAAATTTGAGAGTTAATCACCATAGACAATAAGCAGTTGGTGGATATGATGATATGATGTAGTGGGTGACAGAGAGAGGTCTCCAGCTGGCTTGGGTGACATTGTGACATTGGCAGAAATAACTAACACTATGTGCTAGGCTCTGTGCTAAATGTTCCTCCCTATGTATCCAGAACCTCACCCAGTTTGATTATTTTTTCATAACATGTATCAAACCACCGGGCATATGTGTGTGTGTGTGTGTGTGTGTGTGTGTGTGTGTGTGTGTGTGTGTATATATATATAGTTTACAGTATGTACTATATATTTATGTAGTATAATAAATAGCTGGACACTGTAGCCTAGCCAAGATGACACATCAAAAAAGTCATCACAGAGACCTACCAGCTTGGCTTTAGAGAGCACACAGTCCTTATGACTTGCTCACAGAGTTTAAGGCGTCCAGGAATCTCCCTTGAATCCCAGGACAAATATAGAAGTTTTCTGAGAGGTTGGCTGATAAGTTTGCAGGGGTGAGGGTGTCACCACAGTACGGGTGAACTGGCCCTATGAAGAGGATCCCAGGGAAGGCTGCCCAAGCCAGAGATGTAAGGAAAGTGGAAGTCAGATCTTACTTAATCTGCAAAGTCAGGAAGATCAGCCAAAAAACAGACCCTGAGTTACACCAGCAGCCGGTGCTTCATGGGCAGGGCCAGGTTAGCTTCTGGGTCTGGGATCTCCTTGGGAGAGAAGGAAAGAGAACGAACCCCCAAAGACTAAGAGTTTCTCCCAGAGGGGTTGCATGAGGCCCTGGGAGATGTTGAGCAGGAAGAGACCGAGTTCCCTTTAATGTGCTGGAGTGGGATCCCAAGTACTTCCAGAGAAATAGAGAAGGCTGTACCCCTGCCCCCATGGGGGTTGTATATTCCCTGGACACATACAATGGAGAAGTCTGTCCCATTTTTTGGTCTTTCTTCTGTCCAAGTGTCTGTACGTTTTTTGTGAATGGACCATGGCAACCATCACAGCCTCAATATGGTGACCCTTGGGTGACGGTGTTAACTGTGCTCTTTAGATTGCACGTCACTGGGACTTCCTTAAAGGAAGGGGGGTGTTTTGGGTTGCGTTTCCAGGGAAGCAGACTCTGAGCTGATTTCACGTGCAGGATATTTATTAAGGAATGCCCTAGGATGAACTCCTATGGAGGGGGGAGGAAGGAAGTGAGATGCGCAGAGCGAGAATTCAAGCTTGGACAGCCTCAGTAACCCCAACACCCTAGGGGGCCTCTGGAACTAGAGTTGTTCCAAGATGGACTGAGATGGCCTTCAGAAGGTCGAGGTGGTTCTCTGAGCCTGAGACAATACTGAAGGCCTGGCACCTGTCTGTCGACAGTGCCCTAGCCAGCTGGGGCAGTAAGGAGGATGTGGGCAGTGCCTCTCAGTGTCCATCACAGGGGATTTAGAGTAAGAATACCTTTGGGCTGGAAGTCGACTACTGCCAGCAGCCCTCAGGAAGTCTGAGTTTCTGCTCCACTCCCCGCACCCCCCACCCCTGACTTTTATGACACACTTGCTTCCCTCTTATCTACTGTCTGCTTCTAGCCTGCTCTCTCCTGGGCACCACCTGTACCACCCTTAGCATGTTCTTCTGATGAAGTTCTGGAAGAGTTACTCACGTTGACCTAGGACTGTAATTCCCAAACTCTTCCCTGGAACGCTGGTTCTGGAAATGTTATTGTGTCTTTCAAAAGCTGGGTGATACCTATGTGCAGGTTCATTGTCCTCCCTTCTTTTGTGTATGTTAAAAAGAAAAAGACACCTCCTTAATAGAAAATGTAAATGAGCCTATCTCCTTAAAGAAAATGTTAGCTGGTAATGAGAGGAGGAGGTACAAGGAAGTGGGTGAAAGTCTGGATTCTGAAGTTAGAATGTGTGAGTTTGAATCCAGCCCCTAGTGCACGTATGACCTCAGCAAGTGACTTAGCCTCCCTGGGCTGA